TTAAACTTGGAATTTAAATAAATAAAAAATTTAAGGTACATATTTCGCTATTTTTTAACTACTGTAAGAATTATTGACGGCTCATGAAGAACCTTAAAAATATATCACATTTTCAGGCTTTTTGATGGTAATCGATCACTCTACTCAGAATTTAATTTAGTTAAATTGTATGTTCATAGACAAATGTCTAGTTAATAGTTAGAAACCAAATTGATGTTATCTTCTAAAAAATTGTATTTGTGAGTTTAAAAAATGTATGTTGGAGATGACGTATTGTGTATGAGTTGAACGTTTAAGTTACTTGTTAGGGTTTCTTTAACAATAAAGGGATTTTAGAGTAGTCACTGAATAATAGAAGTTTTCTACAATAATTAATTTTTTCGGTATTAATTTTGAATTTTATTTTCATTGTTATATAAAAATCATTTGTACTAATATAATTATACAGTTATTAAATGTATTCAAAAATGAACAAAATATTTGTGTAAGTTAATTACTTGAAGTTTTGTGTTAACTTATTTTATAATGAGGTTTTTGATTTTTTAATAATATAAGTTATAGAACCTGTTCTATAGAAACATTGGGCTCAGTGTAGTTTCTATCTTTACACGAATTTGTTTATGAATTATATTCTCATAACTACCTGCTGTGTATACATTGTACATTGAGCGTCGAGCAATAATATTTGTATAAAGTCTGAATAAACCCACTTTCTAATGCAAAACAACTGTGCGTTTCGCAAAATGAAAATGTTTGGACTTTGCATATTATATAACATTTAAATAATGCAAATAAATATTATATCAAAATAAGGTAGGTATTATTCTGTAAGTAAACATTTTATTTCTTATTCCCTTAGACTAGTAGGTATAGTAATTGGTACACCAAATATAATTTGTTTTTAACACGTGGGTGATTAGAAATAGTTTATTTATAATTTATTAAATATAAATTGATCATTTAAATTTATTATCTATGAAATATCAATGATATTAATATTATATTTTATTTTTCCTTATATTTTATATATCAATTAATAATCATTTACGAAATTATGTGCAAATAATTGCAATTGTCTTTTATTACTAGCGCATGGAATTAAAATATGTGTGTATTGAATATTTGGGTTCCAAATAAGATTTGTGAAAATGCTAATATTTAATTTAAATTATGTAAATAACTTGATCATATAATTTATTTTATCAAAGTGTAATAAATTATATACGTTTTAATGAACAGTCAGTAAAAGTTGTTCCGTCAAAACATATTGATCACATGGTCAAAGAAATGTTAGAAGTTTGTTATTGATTTTATCTTATAAATACAATTTATAAATAAAATAAAAGTTTTAGACACTCGTGAAATGTATGAAATATAAATATTGAATTTAAAAACAATACAATTCACAGTGATTTGCCAACCAAAGTTTTCGATTCCAACAATCAGATAAATTAAAACATGATTGAAGACTAAATAATATATATTTTGATAGTAACACACGATGTAGGTATAATATCTATGGACTAAATAATGTTTTGTAGTAGACAAAAAAAAATTCTATTCTCATATTTATCGATCAATATTGGACGATAATTAATGCAAACAGATGTACGACTTATGATAAATGTATTTCTCGTTATTTGAAAATCTCAAAAACACCATCGACCTAATAATATTATTATGCAATCGACATAATTTTCGTACTTAATGTGTACATAAATAAAGTTTATTGACTTAACAGTTTGACCTGTAGAGTTTTTAGGGGAGAGAATTGTATTGTAGCGAAAGAAAATATGTTAAGTAGCAGTGCCAGCGTTGACATTTTGAGCGGGTGAGGAAACACCAAGCGGAAAAGCGGGAGGTTTCCGCCGCGTCTGTCGACTACTCCAGGCCAAATAGCGCTGGCGAGCTTCTTTGGTGACATGCCGGTTAGCTGAAGTGCCTCACAAAATAAAACATGTGACTTAAATATTTCATAGACGTCCCCGAACAATTAATTGTTATTGATGAATATTGCGCAGTTGATGTATTTCAATTTTTAAAAACGCGTCAATCGAAGTGTTGTTACGAAAAGATAAAAAATGTCAAGTGCTACTTTATGTGTTAATTTTGGTATCTATTAAAACTAAAGTTTTACGATGCATTTTAGTCTCAGTCTTGCTTCTCTACTGCGCAGTTCATTTTTTACGTGCGTCTTCTGATATTATAATATCTACAGTCTATACGTATTGTTTTTACTTCAGAAATAACTATTATAAGCCAAACTACGACAAGACACCACTTAAGGCTTTACATAAATTATATACAACTTTGCTGAATTAAGTAACAAAGTTAATAACGACATTGACACTACCCAAAAACTTTCTTTGACCTATAATGATATATAACAAGATATCAATTGATATCGGGATAGACACTATCTATTATAATATTAACAAACTATTTCATTATATAATACGCTGGTAACATAAGCCAATGAGTTGTATTATACTGAAACGGATAAAACGAATATCATCCAAAAAATGATTACTCACTATATTGTGTAAAATATTTGATACATGGCAACAAATGTTTGCACTTGTTGAGTTCGATCAAAACATAATGCTGAAAATGTGTTCAACATAAAATAGACATTTCCCAGTAAGTATCTATACGAAAACCTAAAAACGTGCTGCAATTTTTCTATTTAAATTATCCAGATAATTCACAATCCATGACCTATTTATTTTAATGAATAATAAAATAGTTGCCGTGGTAAAAAATCCATTGAATACGTCAATTCAGTACTTAACACTATTATATTGTTATTACTTATTAATAATTAAATATGTTGTTAATTTAATATGCACTATCAACACGCCAATCTACTTCATGTGATGCATATTTTATGTGTTTACTTGTTAAAATTTCAAACCACAATATTTGTATACCTAAAGGCTAAAATATTTATTAGATCGTTTTTTTTTTTATTCTTTAAATAGTTTTTTTCCCCGAAAATTGTATGTTTACCTATTTCACCATTTCTTTGTTGCGAAAAATAAGATATTTATACTTTGCGAAGTTTGATATACCTAAGTGCGTTCGATGACAAAGCAGTTTATAGTTACTGCATTATAATGATGTTTGTATAATAATCCAGAATGACGTGAACCCCCGAATTAAAAGGCAATATCACGGTACACCGAATAAGAGAAAACACTACAAAACGTGATCGGGATAAACCTGCACCTTTTAGACGGTCGTATTATGTAGTCAAAGTATCAACGAGGATCAGTGCCAACCAATTTTTGACATGCGAACCCTATTTCACTGTCTGTCGAAAATATAACGGTTGTCAATAACCTAACGCCATATTATATAGTTATATACGAACCTGTGTCAATATTATATTTAACCTTCCATTATTTGATTTATTGTTTTTTTTTCTGAGCAGAAAATACAAATATCTATTAAAAAAAAAAAATGCGTATTGCCTGGAGAGAAATTTACCACACAAGTCTTAATTTCCATGATATTTTAGCACAAATGCGGTACAATAATATTGTGCTGTCGACATTATCGATTGGGCTTAACAACCCAATAAATTTTGAATAGGTATTATAAATTATTTCAATAACAACGCCAGTAACGCATTTTTATTTTGTTACTTAGCGTTGTATTCGTTATAAATCGAATATTTTTCAAATACTAACAATATTACGAGTCATTCGAGCAAACTAACTGTTCTTTTTTTTTTGTGTCACGTGAATTGTATAAATACGTTACAGTTAAATATTATGTCTCTTTTACTGTTGAAGGTTTTAATCATTGACCATATCCATACATTTCTGAATGCTGGACTTATTTAATTTTGAACAGGGTGCACACACCAGCGGACGAAAAACGGTAGTACTAAGAATATACCTACTGTTTATATACAAGTTATGCGATAAAAAATAATAGTCACCGACATGGTAACATAACCACGAAACCAAAATAGCAAATGTCAAAGCAGCGGCGACAAGACAGCCAAGCGTACAACAGCTAAAACACATAATAATGAATATCAAAAAGGGTTAAAATTTAATAACATATACCATACACTAGGTTGGTAGTTAAAAATTCTAACGGTAAGACATCATGTATTAATTCGTACGAAAAATTGATTCAGGCCAAAAATGTCTGGTAATATTGCTTACAGGAATAAATTAGGTGTCAACAGTGTTCTATAATATTAATTATGTTGTATTAATGTAATATCTTATAAATGTTTTGAAAATAAATATAATGAAAATAATAATACCTAATATATTTTACGAGTAGTTTACTTTTTTTCAAGGAAAAAGGATACAATATTTGTTGATGACATTTAAGAAAAATAATAAAACTTAAATGAAATACTGTTTTAAACAATAGGTACACTTTCCAGGGTGAATCAAAAAATAATAATCTTTAAATAACAACTATTATGATTTATGAGTACGTATAGGTATGTAAATATGTTTTTTTAACTCTTTTCAAAAAATATAATATTTAATAAATATTTTACGGTTGGAATTTTGAACTAGTATATTATTGTACTTATAACAAGATATTTGAGCCATTTTGCACACTCGCCATTATGTGTCTTAGCTATTATGTGCTAAGCTGTTTTGATGTTCACTATTTTCGTCTCGTGGTTTTGACGTGATACCGAAAACTAATAGGTTAATAAAAAAAAGAACTTAGCACACCTGTGCTATATTATAATATAATAATATGTGATGAATAATGCCAAACACTGTGAAACCGCCATGATACTTCATGTATTTATAAATTATTTAAAAATAAAATAAACGTTTTTTCCCGCATAATATTATCAATTTCTTATTAAAACAATTTAAAAAAAATACAACTCGTATAAAAGAGTTCAATGCATTGTATTCACGTCCAGGCCGTTTTTTAAACACACTATTATGGCGTTATCCTTTTCACAATCACTAAAGAAATACCTTGACCATGTGTTGTATTTTTTTTTCTAGCTCCGTGATTCGGGTTGTCCTTTTTTGACAGACAAAGGACAATTGAGGGTCCAAGTCGAATGGGAAGAAAGCTATTTACTGTTCCAAGCCACATACCATAAATATGACGACGTCAGTAGGACTCACAACTACCAGATGAGGTAACTTTACTAAACGTTATTGTATGTATTTCGTTTTAAATAATATGTGATAGAGAAAAAAAATCTTGATAGGACATAAATTAATGGACAGGATTTTTACATTTTTAAGTATTCAATATGTACAATTAAATAGAAGACCAGACTAAGAAAATAAAAAAAATCATCCTCCAAGTCAAAATTCCCATTTATAATCTTTTTCTAGAACCCGGTACGGCTATTCATCTTTGATCTTCTGAAGTTCAGAGCTGGTATAAAAAATTAAACCAACCACCATATGCAGTCAAAGTGCATCCCAATCCCCGAATATCCTCTCAGAAGGCTTTAATGGCAATGACTCTGATTCATTATTATTTAATTAACTAAACATATATCCTGGAATGCGACCCTTCATTAAACTGACACCGAAGTGCTGTCACTGAATAAGTCATCCACCTTGCCAACAAGCCCTATTATATAGTATCCATTATGCTCATTATACTAAACATACTGTGCATATTGTATAGTTTTCCAAATTTAATAAAAAAAAAAACATATCTATATAATAGGTCCTAGCCTCCAAAGACTTAAGTGCTAAATATTTTAATAGGAGATAAATTGTTTGTAGTAGACACATGATGCTGTACTCAGGTAATTAGTATAATATAACAATCAAACATATCAATCTGAAATTTAAAACAAGATCGCTAAATACAACTAAACAATAGATACTATACAATGTGCCCCTTTGAAGAAGTGACTGGCCGGTGTCAATGATAGAACACACTCAAGTTTGTAAATCAAACTTCTTTAACGGGGGGGGGGGACCTACAGCACATTTGCTTTTAATCGTAATTTATATTTTTATTTTAAATTTATAATTTAACACATATAATAAAACCAGAAAAGTACAAATTATTTTTATTAAATTGAAAAAAGTAAAGAAGTTTTTAAAAAAATGAGAATTTTTAAAAAGAAATTGTGTATAACTCCTGCTTAATTACAAGGTATCTATTTTAATTTTATTATTCTATAGAATCCTATTTTTTTTTTTATTTAATAAAAATAATTTGTACATTTATGGTTTGACTGTGTATGTTGGTTGATAACACTTTAAAATAAAAAAATTATTACGGTACAAAATTGAAAAGTTTTTAAGATACGGCAGAAAATGTGTGGTAGTTTCAGTTTTGTTTGAAAAAAGTTGAATTGCCGATAACTAAATAAATTAAAAATGTAGGCCGACCCTTTAAAGAAGTTTTTTCACAACTTAAGGTACCTAAACTATCATATGACGCCGGTCAGTCATTTACTCACTTCTTCACAGTACACATATTATAGAGATGAAATATATGGACGAATGGTGTATAAGTGTTTTTCCAATATATAATCTTTATGTATTTGATATTCGTGCATTTTAAAACAAAAAAGTAATCTTCGCCATGTCAAGTTCAGTAATCGCAATCAGTGTGCACTTGGATTTTATATGGATTTTTATTTATTTTAAACTACGTGTTCGTGGAAATACAGAATACTGAAACGATGTACATTTTTATAATTAAATTTCACCAATTTATTTCTATTGATGTAAAAGGAATAAAGGATAATATGGTAACTTCGCATACTGGATTTAAATACTATAAAAAAAAAAACAAATATCGTGAAAATTTAAAGAGCAAAATCTAAACCTGCTAAAAAATACCTCTTTAATGTCAACTTCATATTCGATAAATACATTATTTAAATCGAACAAAATATAAATCATATTTAAATTCATCTTTAAAGTTAGGACAGTTTGGTATCTATTTAACTTAGTCTCAAGTTAAATTATGATCATAGCTAAAGGGATGTAAATTCTAACTTCATTTCTTGGTCAGAGTCAAAAATCAATCGACTCCAAACACATATTATTTATCCTTGTAGACTATTATGCATAAAGATACTGTATGTAAATTGTTGTGCATTTAGTATTTTTGATGTTGTTGGAGAAAATCGTCACTAGCCACTAATATGGTTGCCCAGCCTATTACGTCTTTAACGTTAACACTCAATAATATTATGTATTTGCGTTCAATAAACTTATTTCACGAGAAAAATGTTTGGTTGCATATAATGTAGCAACTTTGTCGACGCCTATTTAAATGTACGTCAGTCTATGGATTTTATGCGTTAAAATATCGGATTTGAGTTAACTGAGTCGTATAATCTGATTATAAATAAACACGAACACAACAAATACATCAAATTCAATAGATTTTGAACAATAACGTTTACAAAGATAGTATAGGTAGGTGGTACATATGTGCGGCTTATATTTGAAGAATTGAAAATTTACACTACTCCAACGATATTTTGATTACGTGGAGGTATTACCTACTCAAAATCCAATATTAAAAATGTCCTTATATATCTTTACAAATAGTATTGTTGTCAAGACGTACACCAACTGTAGTTGACGTTTATATGTGCGTGTTTGTCAATAATACGACCGAGAGATTCTTCACACAAATCAGATTAATATCCATCATCCCCCAAGTGACGCGCACTATCGATTTAATACATACCATTTTCAAACGAGATACCAAAAACCATACACAAAAGAGCTATCGACAGTGTAATAAAAAAATCATTTAAACATCGATGTCATTAGAACAGTAGTATAAAGTTTGTAAAGTATTTATTTTTTCCGGATGTGGTCTGGAATACTAAAAACGAATGCAACACGTGATTGTGGATTATGCCCGGATGAAATCATAAAAAAGCTTGACACCATAAATCATATTTATTTCCTTAAATGTGAACATTTAGATATAAAAATATTTAAATTCACTATTATTTAGGTGGTTGCATTATTGTCTTCCATAATACCTCATCATAAATATATATTCATTTTAGCGCCTTAAACAATTTCATAAATAAGAAAGAACAAGAAAATATAATAATAATATTAATCGTTAAATTTGTCAACTGGAAATTCTTGAAAATGTGTACCTAAACAAAATATGAGGTGTATTATTATACATAAATTATTTCTTATCCTAAGAATTAAACACTTTAGGTACCATGCAAATAGTTTTTGGTTCAATGTATATATATCACTAGTCACTACCCAGTTCTCAAAGCGTATTTTTGCACTCATATTATTATCATTGAAAGACGTACTGGTCTAGTATCTATATTACATCAAAAATAAGTTATCACATGTTTATGTTAGAAAACACTAAATACTTGCCAGTCATCACAATGTCTAAAAAAAAGTTGCATAACCCTTTTACAGTACAATTATTGAATTATGTTACACACAATTGGCATTCATAGACTATTTCCCCGCATATGTTACTGTTTACCTAAACTATTTGGTACGAAAATAATCGCTGTAACGAATACAAAATGTATACACACAAACCACATTTCATATGATTATTATGGTGTAGGTAAACTAAACAACTAAGTTAGTGACGAGTATGATCGAGCACAGAATAGTTTATCTTTCAAGCAAATCCTTTCCATAAGAAGACGTCTAAGACACACACGGAAACAAAGTACGTTCTTAGTACACTTTATTATAACTTAGCAGAGTTGAACTCTAAGAGTTGATTCACTGTTCGTCCGTAAGTCTTCATTCCACCCAAGACTGAACAAAAATAACAATTTCCACGGGCCTATATTATACGAATAAATATACGACATGTGGATGTACCAGACAGTCTGAAAAAAACAACTCAGTATCGTCAAACATTATTCTCTTAAATTATATTTTATTTATTTTTTCCGACTTTTTCGATACATATTCAAGGTTAATCTAATCTAATATTATACTTTTATTCCACTTAACTAAACCAAAACGTGTCGTAAAGCTTTTTTACTAATTTAAACCACTTAAATCACTTTTTTTCAAAACCTCTCTAAAACAGTTTCAAAACGGTCTTGATAAAAATGATCCACTTGATTTTGTAGATGAATTACTTCAACTAAGACTAAACTAAGACTTCATTTATGGATCTTTTAATGTTACGATATGTTACTTAATTAACTTACAAAACATAGGTAATGATAATTTGAAGAAAATAATGAAAACTATTGATAAGTATTGTCCATATAAGACTGTATTTAAAAATTGTTTTTGATTTTTGATAAGCACCTACATAATAACTTATTCACTTCTTACATTTTATTAAAAAATAAACTATTCCAATAATATTTATAAAAGGTTATACTAATAATGGCAATGTGAACGAAATCAATTATTGAGTTTATTTTTCTAATAAATACAAATACTAGATTTCGAACAAATATTTTTTTATTATAGTATACCAAGGTACATAAGACTATACTTATATTTATGTAAATTATGACTTTTTAATGCTGTTCTATAATAACAGTTATCATGTAGAATTTCACAAAACTCAATCCAAATGCAGAGATTATACTTAACACATGTAAATAAACAAATAGGTAGCCAATTTACATTAAAATACATTATTGTGTAATGTTATCCAACTTATTAGATTACATTATTAAATAGTAAAAAATTAAATAAATCAAATAAATCAAATCTTTCATGACCCGAAAACAATGTTTCTTAATATGTTGTAACTTAAAATAAATATAATATAAGTCACAGAAGTATAATTCTTAACAATAACCTTAATTTTAAACAAAACATTTACTAAACTAATTAAACTAATTATAAACATTTCATAATATATTGTATCATTTCAACTGCTAAGTATGAACAACAAAGAGACACTTTAAAATTTAAATACAATAAAAACTAAAAAGAAAATCCTTTATTTATCTTGACATAATATGTAACAATAGCACAGTGCTTGGTAAAATACATTAAGTTTAGAAAATGTGTAAAGTAGTAATATCATACGACTAGTATAATATTAAAAAAAGTACCTAACGAATAAAAAATAAATACCAATCACTTTTATGAAATAATTTATACCGGTTATGTGCTGATTGTACTCTGTTGTCTGTAGATCACTCAGACGTATTTTAATAACGTTTTTATTGTA